AAATTCTATATATCATTTCTGAAATCAGAATTATAAATGAATATATAATAATTATTTATAACAAATCGCAGACTTGCATTGTTTCTAGAATTCTGTTTTTTTTTTTTTTTAAATATTAAGATAAGTACTTGCAACCCATGATTTTATTGATAGTACATTCAGCTAATAGTTGCATTACAACCACAGGGGGCAACCATAGAAAAAGTATACAACTAGTCATTTATACAACTTTAGTTATTGTCTAATTTAAGTAGTCCACTTGAAGGTTCTACACTAGCTGCCATACCTGAAGCCTACTTGTAAGTTCCCTATTTAACCACTCTGTTCTTGTATCCACCCACCTACCTACATCTACCAAGATGCCCTGGTTGATACCGGTGCAAATATGCCATGATCACTAAGTCTTTAAAGCAGTTCACTCACATGGGGAACCTTTGATCTTGTACTAAACATTCCAGAATCTTCTGTATCCCATTCTTACAGCTAACCTGGTATTGCTATAATCAAAACTAATACTGGTAGTCAGGGCATACCATTTAACTGCTATGTCCTTGTAGAGTTTACCCCAACCCCGGTACTGACTTCACAACATATCCCTACTATTTTGGTATTCAATTCAAGTTCCACCAAGCTCTCAAACCAGATAGTCCAGAAAGGCAGATCATAACCATATATCTTTGGTTTATATGTTTGCTAACATGTAACCTTTTCTTCTGGAACCTGAAAATTTTGGTGGCCTGGTTGGTTCCATTTGACCCCTCCTCAAAGGCCAGCTCTTTGCCTAGTTTCACAAGTTCTAGCTCTATTTCATAGGTCTAGTCTTTATAGTAGCATTGTCAAAAGTTCAGGTTATCTCTTTACTCAGGTCTTCCAAGTGGGCTTTCATCCTCCTACCTAGTTCCTATGATTTATATGGCCTAAGGACTTATCTTGGATTCATACTGCCTGGTACTGGTTTGTGTTCCTTCATACAATATTACACAAATGCCTAGACCTTCCAATCAGGCTGGTATGATACAGTTTACAGGTATTCTATCCCAACCAATCATAGAAAACAGTTAGCTGTAACATAGAAAGAATTGCAAATTTTCACTGTCACTGGGATTTGAACTCTAAACTTGCCACTTGGGGGTTGACAACTTATCCACTTTCTAGAATTCTGTTTTCTGGTGTCATAAATAGAATTTGCTAATAAAATTATTTAAAATTTAATCTGTATATGATTTTGTAATTTAGTGATGATTAGTTATTTAAATTATATAAATTTTTATAATGTAATGTTAATTAGTTGTTGATTAGTTATTAATTTTTGATAGCTTGTCAACGAAGTGACAGAGCATTCATTATTGTGAGATCAGATGATTTTATTGAAAATTTGTTTTTGTTTATATTCTATTATAGGTTAGTTTAATATTTTTTATTGGAGATTTTGTTAGATGCAGGCTTATAACGATGCTAGGTTTATGATTTCATATAATTATTATTGTTTAAGTTACTATGAATATTAGCAAAAGAGTAGTGATTATCAGGCCTAGGGGTTTGAGAAAAGGCATATGCATGTAAATAGTAAGAGAAGAGGAGGGCATTATAAGAATAACAGTTTAAAAGATAATAGGCATCTTTTGTTTTGTTATCGATCGACTTAGAAAAGACTGGCTTATTTATCCTGCCTGCTTTCCCCAATAATAAGTAGCTTAATGGCTATACACAATGCAATGACTACAGAATTGGTTTTAGTTTATTTTATAAGAATAAAGCTTCATGACTGCCTTAGCAGTGCAAGAACCTTTAATTGTTTTTGGCTCTGCAACTGTAATGACAATGCAAGGACTATGAAAAGTTTATAGCTACGTGTGAAAAGGCACATATCATTTAACAACTCGATTCTCTTTTTAACTATACAAATATTACTTATTATTCTGATAAGGTTATTCAACATTGTTTTAAAAAGGTAGTTTATTGAACAGAATAGTTGTTTGGTCTAAGGTGTCAGAATAGTGCAGAAGTGAGAGAAAATTTAGGAGCAGGGACTATAATAGTTAGTTCATTTAAGGTTGACTATTAAGAAGTACACAGATCACCTCTTTGTAAGGGTAGAATAAGCTTGATAGTGAACCTATTCCTATATGTTTTTTCTTTGAATAACAATAAAGTTTCTGATTAAACAATAATAATATGATCTGTCGATTAGTTGTCTAATAGAGTATATATAAATATAAGATCATACATTAAGGTTTTTTTTATTTTTGTCAATATATTACAAATTGAAATAGTGTTTGATTTGAACTTGAATTATATTTGGAAAAAATAGAATTACTACTAAATATAATATATAATAAATTATTTCCTCATTTTTAGGTTTACTTTAATTTATCAGTCAGATTTAAAATATTTTTAATTCAGAAAAGTATTTATTTTCATTAAATTTTAATTATTTATTATTTATTTTTTTTTTTTGTAAATTGTAAATCTATATTATTTAAATATTTTAAAACTAATACTAATAAACTAATTACATTTAACAAGTTGTTATGAATTAATGATTATTATTTTGCCTTCAAGAATAAAACACAGTAATTGTGACACTCTTCGTATATTGACATATATAATAAATACAATAATCTTGGTAATGTTTATTTGTTAGTAATTGTGACAAAGTTTATTTATTTATATATATAATAATTGGTTAGTATAAACAAACAATTTTTATTTATTAATAGCATTAATACATAATTTAAAAGACATGCAATAAATTCCAAAAAATGTAATAATATTAATATTACAAAGTAAATTGTTATGAATTATTTATTTTTAAAATAAAATAATATGAAAATTTTCATTAATTGACATGTAGTATAATTTATTAATGATATTTTATGATCTGTTTTATTAACAAAACACATACAAAAACAAAATATGTTTTTAAAGTAAAAATAACAGTAAGCTTTGTTAGTAAAATGATGTATACTAAATATGATAATAATATAATAGTTCTCAATCAACAAAAAATACTTTTCAATTTTTAGTATGTTCATAATCTGTGATAGGTTAAGCTACTAATTTTAATTCCTATCCGATTATATTTCCAGAATAAGATTTAACTATCATAAACTATTAAAAAAAAAATATATATAAATTCAAAAGTTGTCTTTGGATATTAACAAATATTATAGCTACTTTTTAAGCAAAGCAAACGATATATCATTTCTTTAATCATGCTATTGTTCAACACATTACTTACTTAAGAGATACTTTTTTTACTCAATTCTACATCTTTCGAATGAAGATAACTCAAAGAGCTGAATTTCATATCATTTATTCATGAACTCACATTTTCACAATATTTTGATTGAATAGTTGCAACTAAAATCATCAAGAAAAATATTTGGATGATTTTATTTTTGTTTCATTACATTTATCTTTGAATTTATCTAACATGGTTCATAATGTTGACCTAATATTTTGACAGTTTGAAGTAAAAATAAAGTGATGCCAGAAATATTATTCTCATCCATTTTTTTAATTCTGTTTTATAAGTTTTTTTTTAAAAAAAATATATCTGAATTTGTATAAACTGTGAGGCATTTGAAACTTTATTAAAAAATTGGTTCTCTTTTACAGTAAATCTTATTAGAAGTCGATAGGTATTTAAACTTTTAATTTGCATATTTTACTCATGTTAGATAAAAAAAAAAAGTTAATTTATAAAATCACAAACAAAAATAAATAATAATCAAATATGATCAAATTGTTTTTTATATTGACATCATCAAACTGGTGTCAGTGTTTTGGTCGCTTCTCAAACAGATATGTCATGTAACCTATGAATGGCTTAATCGATAAGAGGCGGTTAGATTTGGCAAGTGGTATGTTTATGATTGTAGGTATTATTATAATGACAGTAGGATATTTATTAGGGGACAAATTTTATTTGAATCACGAACACTTTTTTATCCTCTTTGTAGGGCTTAAAGCCTTTATTATATACTTTCGTTTACATAGGACACATTATACATTGTATTCATGTTATATCTCTTATACTAATTATAACGTTTATACTTGTTAAACTGATTATAATGTTTATACTAATTATTTTACGTTGTGGGACCCAGATGAACCCTGACCGTTTGTGGTTCATATCCCAATTAGGAAAAGATCGATCGCATCCGTCACATCCGTCGCATGCGACCGATAAGTCGCATCAGTCACATCGGTCGCATATGACGGATATGATGGATAGCAGCGATCGGTCAGAAGTGTCTTTTAGGTGATATCAGTCGTATCTATCGCACAATGTAAATAGAATTCTACAATTATAAATAAAGGCCGAAAGGCCCTTTGGGAAAACAACAATTCCCGCCCTTGACAAATAAAATAATACATTCGCTAATACATAATCTGTCCCTAACTTGTAAACACTAACTTCCATCAATACACTTACCTAATAACCAACCCGAAACCTCCCTTTCGTTAAGAGAACCCGAATAGAATCCCGTTGACCACTCGCCAAATCTAACACGCCTCCTTCGATCCAATTTACCGACCCTAAAGGTTACACGAGGAACCTGACCGATTAGCGACTGACTCGCCGTTTTACGATTACAACGTATAAAATAGTATGCTGCTGAATATAGTCTATAAGTACGTCTTAAAAAGATATAAAGTCTCCAGAATACACATAATTTATTCGCCATGTATACGTACTCTAACATGGAATAGAAAGTTCAAAATAGAATGTATTTTTTTTTTTTAACATAAAATAATGTATAATAATTGTTTAAAAATGAACTATTTATTGGTTATATTTAACACTTGCAGCATATTATATGAAAATTCAGTCAGAATGTTGGGATTTAACTAGTCTAAAAAAGGAATATCAATAATGATAAAGTTGACTAAGATGTTCCAAGATTAAATTTTTTGATGCATATATAAGTCACATTAAAAATAATAGCATAAACTAAAAGCTAAGAAATAATTTAGCATGCTAAATTATAATGTTATATCATAAGAATTTCATCTATATCCTCCGGTATAGGTTTTAAATCATAAAAGAAGGAATCTTTGGGTAAATACAACCAATCTCGTATTTTTTCATTATTTACAATCGGAATGGAAGAATGGATTTTCTTTCGCAACTTCTCCTGTTCCTTAAATTCATCTTGAATTATTGCGAAAAAGTTGAAAATTTTAGTATAATATGAAATTGAATCAAAAGAAAATGGAATTATGCAAGAAGCAATTTCAACGGCCAAATACTTCTTTTGGTCTGTGATTGACACAGAAAACAACGTAAGCCGGTCACCAACAACTTGGATGCTATAAGTCTTTATTCTCTTAGCATCATTTACGCTACAATCTAAGTTATCGCCAAATATTCTGCAAAGACTGCAGATGGACATCATCAGCAATTTCTTCGCATCTCCGACCGTGTGTGTGATTGTGGCTTTAAACGGAGGACCAGATACCTCTGTATTTAAGATTTCCATTCCATCCGACAAACGTACAACAAGTAAATCTGTCTTTCTTGGGCTGATAGCATCCACGAACATGTTATTGGCCTCTCTTATCGAAGTGACGTTCTTTTCAATCCAATCATACTTAATGTCTGGAAATGCATTTCGAAATGCTCGAAATATAGGAGCTAAGCATTCGACAATAAATGTTCTCTCAGACATGTTACGATCTAGAACTTTTGGTGATCTATATTTGAAGTTTGCGATAAAATCTAAAAGTGCGTACCGCACAAAGAAGTTGAATCCCGCCACTTCTGTCTGGTTATCCCCTTCAACAATTGTCAAATCTATGATTTTTGATTCAATTTTTGAGTATTCAGTCTCAAATATTGATTCAAGCTTCTTGACAAAGGACTCTTGCAAAACCAGTCGATTTTTCATTAGAAACAACTTTTCAATTTCTCTATAAGTTTCCACTTCTACGGTTTCCTTAACATAATCGATTGTTGCACTGAATGCACAAACCAGGTATGGTGAATATTTATCACACATTACTTTCGTTACGATTGGTTTGTTTGGTGTATTGATTAAAACTTGTTGTGCCAGTTGACTTATTGGACACGGTGTAGACTCACGTGAAGTGGCCGAAATATCAAATGACGTCGAGGTTTGTTGGGGTGTACTTAGTGCGATTTTACACCAAGTGTCTTCTGAATTATTTAATACTGTTACAATTGGCTGAGCTTGGATTGTACTTGGACTGATTTCAACCAAAGTAACGTCTTCCGAGATATTTTCATCCTCTGAACTTTCATTAATAATGTCGTCTTTGTCCATACTATCGCGCTCCGCTTTTCTACGTGACCGGGTTGACCTTGATTTTTTATTCTAAATAGGTTCCGAAACAAAGTCAAAACATTTATAATCATGCGCGAAATGGTAAAATTACTTACTTTCTTGGGTTCCTCGGTGTAGTCTTGATCTGATAAATGATCTTCCTCTGAACTTTCAAGATAACATATGGTTTTTCTTTTTCGAGTCGATTTCTTCATGCAAGAAAAATAATAAACCAGTTTCAGTCGATTAACATCGTAAAGAGATACAACATAGTTAAAGATTATGCATCCACACCTTTGGCCTTCTACTAACGTTAAAAGATCCATTATTGATCCCGATCACTGAGCTATTCGTAACTTGGTGAATGTGAACCTCGGTTCCATCGACTGGTTTAGCTCTTCTTTCCTTCTTCCAATCTCGGGCACAAACATAATCAGGACCCTAAAACCAAAATTTGAAATTAGTAATATTCTTAATTATCCTTAAGATTATATTATCCGATTTTTGCATCCCACAAAGTCGACTCGAAGTCTCAAACGTAAGAAATTCTCAAAGATATTGTCTTACGCCCAGTGGGGCAAGTGCCAAGTTGACTCGAAGTCTCAAACGTAAGAAAGAAGATATCTTGCGCCTCAACACTGCTTCGTAGCTTGTCTCAAAGACTTGATTGATGCATGACTCAAAGTCCTCACACCAACGCTACCACGTATTTAGCTATTTCTTCAGCGAGAAAAAAAATAAACTCGCCTGTCTGTACTGATCAAGTAACTTGTTCGCTCTTTCACGCTTTGGACCTTTTTGAGTATTGGAAATTACTTCGAGGGACGTAAGGTACGACTCTATCTTTTGTTTGAATAATGGTATATCACATTCTTCCAAAAAAGTCAAAATATTCCAATTCTCAGGATCGCGATTAAAAAATTCGTGTATCTTGTTAACCGACATTACTGATATGAAAGACTTGGAAAAAAGAACTTTTTTATAATCCAGTATGATGATTATTTGTTTATATAATAATCTGACAAATGGGAAGGCCCACAGCTAGGATTGGAAATTACCGTAAGTTTGTGTAAGTTTCTGAAGTCAAAATTACATCATGTGAATAATTTTTGCAAAAAATTAAAATTCCGAATTGTAAAATTACACATATAGGGTAACTTTCTCGTGATTGGTCGTTACATGAAATTGAATAACACGTTAATTGTGAAACATGATGTCATATTCGTAAACTTAATTAAGAAAAAAAAAAAGTCTATATATGTATTTTTTTAAATGTTTATCACATCTTTTATGCCGAACTAATATAGTGTTTGAGGATCTATCGTTTATTATACCCAAAGCTCGTTATGATAAGACTCATTAGAGCCATCTCTATATTTACACTCTCTTATTACTAACTTTTTCTCATGTATTAACATCCTTTATGCTTTAAAACCCCTTTAACATAGCTTAGAAATCGCTTATCTATTGTTAAAAAAAAAAGCGTATGTACTGTTAGTTTTCTTTAAATAACTCAGCTGTATTTAACGATTTAGTAATTACATATAGTTCTATAGTCACAATTAGTGATATGCTGCGTACAGTACTGTACCCGATCACTTTTGCCAGCCAATCAGATGCCGGAAAAGAACTATACGTACAATCATTGCACAAAATTGTGGAGTGATGTAACCTGCTTTTTTTTCTATCAACATTATTTCAAGTTGAGTTTAGAAATTCATAGCCAATGAAATTTGTCAAATGAATGGAAAATTTCCGACCGCTTAAAACTACGCCGGAATCATATGGGCTAGGTGCTGGAAAAAGGGCCGAAAAGGACAATTTTTTTAAAAGAGTTTTTTTATATAAATCAATTTAGAATTAAATTAGGTTCATTTTTTACTTAAGATATGAAAGTAGTTGTATTAATAAAGTTTTGCAGTATAGCTCTTTAAAGTTGCATTTTCTTATGATTTATTATAAGATTTATAATACAAAAATTGATTTTCCGAATATCTTTTTTATGTCATTTTCGGACCTTTTTCCAGCACCTAGTCCATATCTTAATCAACCGGAAATTCCGGTATTTTACAATAGATTTTGTGCACTGCGTACAATAAGTACCATACGTTACAATCTACGTAGAAATTTCACCTTCTAGGTAAGGTACCTCTTGGTGCAGGATTATTTTGCATAGTGACTATTAGCCCTTCTTCGAAGATAGCGATGAGTTTAATTTTTATTTTTTTACTTGTGAAAAATGTTACATTCTTAAAAAGTACTTTAAACTGTATAAATACAATTGTAAGTGATTGACCAATCAAAAGAAAGGTATCCTATATACATAGCTTTGGGACGATCATGTGATTTTGAGACAATCATTACCAAAATTAGGGTCCCTTAAAGATTGCATTCTTGATATCTAAATAACCCACTAACCTAACTGTATCAAAAGGTAACTCTAAATTGTTATATATAAGCAAAATTGCCTTCCCGACATTTACTTAACCTACCTGAAGTAGATTTAGACTGCCGTTCTTTTCTTGTTTTTGCTTCGCTGGCGATCATCAAAATTCTACAATTTGATTGGCAATGGCCACGTGAATTTGCCCCCGCTTTGGGCGACCCCCATTTTTGGTAATATGGGCAATGGACTAGGAAAACCCGTCTTTGAAGGGGGTTTTCCATTTTGAGAAAATGGCGATTATTTGTCTGTGAAACCTAAAT